GTTTTGTAGTAAGTAAAACATCCCCGCGGCATGACAATTATTTACAGTTCAGTTATATTGACAAAATTAGAACCCAAACAGACACAATTCGTTAATTTTACCCGAAAAGAATCATAAATAGTTAGTTATTACTATATTTCTATGAATGATAATTATTTTTTAAAATTAATAACATGTATAGTGTAAAAAATTTGTAAATGTTTAAATAAACACAGTTTAAGATATTTAGAGGAAATCTACAAACAAAATATGTGTTGATCAATGAATAATTTATATTTTGGATGTAACACATCTTCCGATTGGCTGAAAGTTTTTTGTCTATCAGCTCATAGACATAATTTTTTTCATGTGATCGTGACGTCATCAACGTTTTTGCATGATTTACTCTTTAAAGATGGAATTTAGAATTAAATTATGAGGAATGGTTTTGTCCATCGTATTAAGGAATGACGGTATTATTTTTTCTGTCTATTTGAAATAACCTAAAAATGTGGTGCACACTTTTAAATAACCCGCTGCGCGGGTTATTCAGTGAGCACCACATTTTTTATGTTATTTCTTCAAAGACAGAAAAATGATACAGTCATTCCTTAATAAGATGGACAAAAGCTGACAATTATGTAATATTGAGAAGAAGGTCATCAAAACAATTCATCAATAAAAGATCAATATGTTTATGATGTGAACGCCTACTGCAAATGTATGAATGAACTAGTACAAAACCACTACAAAAAATGTAACTTATGTTGTCAATGCAAAGCATATTATAATTTATCATGACAGTAGTATGATCGTATGATCGTTTGAGGAAGACTTTAGTATAAATTTACCAGTGACAGACACTTTGATGTGCTGCAAAAATAAATTAGTTTATTACTTTCTAATTATTTTGGTGTGTCATCAAAAGCTTTAAAAAGGTACAGAAAAACTCACAAAACAGTGGACTTCAAGTCGTCTTAATCTCTAATCTGGTAACATATACCATGATATAAACGTAAAAAACATGATAAGAAAATATTCAACAATCGTCATTTAAGGGCGATAACTACTTGAAGGAGTATATGTAAATTGATGGTTTCAATCATTTTTGTTGTTTACAATTGATGTGTAGCTTTTATAGTTTTCAAGATAATACACAGAAATGCTTGGTTTCACTAAGAAATGGTAATTCAATTACTATAACGCATATACTAAGTCAAAATTGGTTCTTTTTTTATAATTTTGCGTTGTTGTCGATCTTAAAGGTATTGTACTTGGATCTTGAAAAAATAATGAACACTTATTGTTTTCTAGTTTACACTTTCTGTTTTAGCTTTCAAGATATACATGATAAAGACAGCAATGCTTACATATGACAAACAACTGCAATGATTGATATTTGAGGTAAAATGATGTCAATGATGATCTATGTCGACGAATGTCGATTTCGTGCACTTACCCGTAGATTTCCGATTGCACATTGATAATGATATTACGTCGAAGTAAGAACCGATTGTTCGATGCCGTCTCTTACGCTAATTGACCCCGTGTCAACCTGTGTTACTCATATATGATTAAAAACAACTCAAGATTGGCGTATTCAGTAGATCAATGATTGTTTGACTAGTTTTGATTACTGTCGATGTATAAAAGTTTCCATCATAAGAATACAAATAAATGTTAAGATGATTGAGTAAAAAAAACATACTAAAGAAAAATACATATAAGATATGTACTTTTCTAAGAAAAAAATCTAAATTTTTATAATATAAGCACTTTAATATATCTTGCATAGCTGATCATGATGCGTGTTAACTCTGCACATAGTTTGTAAGATATTAGGCAGATATAACTAACAAATAACCGTCATCTAAGGTTTATAACCCTAAAAGTCTTATAAAAAGTATAGACAGTCAATTAACGAGTCAGTCAATTAACATGTAGCTAGGCTGTTCGTTTTTCTCAATTGAATTGTTTCAAATTTTTCACGACGGAGCCTTTTATAGGCGACTGTACGGTATGAGTTTTTCTCATTGGTGAATGCCGTGCGGTTGCCTGTAAATGATTACATCCACTTCATTTGGTGGATAGTTGTCTCATTGGCAATCATACCAGATCTCCTTATTTTTAAAATAATTGCAGGTTGTTTTTGTCTTAAAGTTTTTGATTAAAAGGACACTACGTTAAAATAACAACTGTATAATCAATCCATGCTTTTATTTATATAGTTCTTGAAATGTGGAATAATTTTCCTGAGAGTAGGTAAATTCTGGCACTTGCACATTTTTTCTGCAAGATTTTCTGTTTTTAGAAAAATTCTATTCGTGTGTACTTTCTACTTTAATCCCAAAGTTAGCCATGGCGTTGTCAGTTTATTTTCAATGTATGAGTTTGACTGTCCCTCTGGTATCTTTCGCCCCTTTTTTAAGTGTTATTCATTGCAGCGGCTGGGCTATTGATAAACCGAGATATGAAAAACAACTTTAGCCTTGAAAACCAGAAATCCTGTGAAGCTCATCTAAATTGCATTTTGAAAAGGTTTAGTGACGATAAACGAGTAATGCCAAATGATGAAGGTATACTGTGTTCTATCAGTTTGAAATCTTGTCAATCCATTTTATGTTTAAATAATATTTTTTTTGGGTTAAACTGGACATATGATGGTCAGTTTCCATCTTTAAAGATGCACACAATTTCCAGAATATAATTTAAACCCCCCATTACTTGCCTGTTTATCATTAAATTCATGTTATGTAAAATCAGAAAGTGTTACTACTTAGATCTGTGGGCACTTAAACAAATACTTAAAATCACAGTTCAAACCTATAAAAAAAAAGATTCGACTGGTTAATAACTGAGGACGCTCGACTCTCTAGAGAGTTGACTTGTTAGCAAGCAAATGAACTATGTAATGTTATCTATAACTCAAGTGCTTCAAAAGGGGGAGTTGTATTACACCCAGTCATTCAAGACCCTCATGAAAAGGAAAACGTTTAGTATTTTTCATATATGTATGAATATTTGAAATCAAAATGCAGTATTAAAGTAATTGGGCAGGAGGTAATTTCCATGTCGTAGAGATTTATTCATCTGTGTCTAAAAGATAAGTTAGCTCTCCAAATATAATAGGATGTTAAGCAATCAAGAACCAATCAATCAATCCAACTATGAAATGTCTAAGTTCAATGAATATGTTACAATCGAGCGAATAATTCTCAGAAACAGGGGTGATCATAGGTTCTCCGGAAAGGTACGCAAATCTTTTTCTGCATGTAGCATACGTCTTGTTGTTGCTGTAAGTACAAAACCGGTAATAATTTTATCGGGTAGTTCATATTCGAGGGAAGAGGACGGGATTGTGGTTACGATAATTGAAAAATATCCGTCGTCATCTGTGATTCCACAACGGTCAACCAATTCGTGATGGCGTCCGTACTATGTTCGAAGGGATGATTTCAACTTCACCACGTGTAACTCTTGGTTTAATAGCTTCGTTGTAAACAGTTATCTTTTAACAATTCTTTCGATGTTTTCGATCGATAACGTGCTTGTTGTGGTCCTTTGAAATTGGTTGACAGTTTTGTCATCTAGACTCATTTACGCTACACTTTGGCACAGTTTTATCAAACAAATAAATCTTACTTAATTAGATTGTCGTTTGAAAAACCGTATTGCAAATGTTTTGCTGCAACTCATTTAAAGCCTTTCTCTCTAATGAATATGTTAGATATACTTATAGAAATATGATGAGATGATTAAATCTGTAAATATTCACCTTGACAATATCTATGCAAGTTTCGGCAATACAGTTTATTGACAGGTTGTAGTATCTTATAGGCACTTTTTGTGTCCCTTAAATATCAGACTTGTTCCTGGATTGTTATGAAACACAGATTATGGCAAAACTCAGTATGGACCAGTCTAAACCACATTTGTGAGAACACTTACTGCTATCTTGATGATATGTTTTCGTTATATAATCATGAATTGCCTTAATACACTGCCAAATTACCTATCTATTCATAAATTTAGATATATCAGTTTCACATGGCAAACTCTACAAAAAACTTTACGACAAAAAGGACGTTTTATTCGGTCCAATTTGTTAAATTTCCTTTCATTGGACGGTGATTTGTTTTTAACCATCTGACGTTGTTTAGATATCCCAATTTCTTCTCTGTGTCTTTGTCTGTATTAATGATTTGGATTTTAATGAACGGTATCTATCTTTAACTGGTTAATTATTTAGTCAAGAATTTTGATTTTCGGATATTACTGTATTGTATTTTAAGCTTGGCCTTCGTGAAACGTAGATTTTACTGTCGCATATTGAGTTCACCTAGTGATGCGTAGCTCATGTCAAACATAAACGCTAGACGTATTAATACTTTTCGTACCCTTCTGAATGGTTTAAATAATGACAAAATGAGACTTTTTTGTTTATTGTGTGAGAAATTACATAGCAAAAAAAAAAAACGGAATTTAAAATGGTTGCATTACTTGTTACGGACTGATAGAACGTGGAGTCTAATCCATCAAAATATTTGTCAACGTCCAATGAAAATTATCGTTCTAAACGAATTAAAATTGTCATTTTCACGATTTGTTTAAAAGTTTTATAACAAGTTTAGCCGTTTGAAAAGTGTAAACGTCAAGAAAATGTTTTGCTGTTTTTTTTTTCATTTTTTTTTTTCATTTACGAATAATACGTATAATGGCTGCTCTTTATTGATTTGTTAATAATTTGTATTTTCAAAGACGGCATCATGTTTATTTTAAATCTAAATTTGTTTTTGCGCAGGTTATTTCCACATGAACAGATCGATGATATTTTTACATTAACTAAACTAAAATAAATCGTTCAATTTGAATCACTCAATGGACACTGTTTCTAAGAGTACAATAAGTACTGAAAAAATCCTTTTAAACATTTTTAAAGACGGACAATGTTTATTTTTCAATGTTATTGTACAATAGTCATTGCAATAAAGATACACGTTTAAAAGAAAACAAAACTAATAGAGTGTGTAGGTGTTTATTTATATCTACCAATGAACTACTAAAATAAACTAAAAAATAATTAAGTACATATACATACAAAAGTTAAAGTATTTTTGATGATTTATCAACATCACCGAAAGATGAGATATAGGAATACGATAAAACCACTCAAAACACTCATTTTTCAAGTACTCTACATTTATGTATACGGTTTCTACAATATGCATATCAGAACTAACTGTTAGGTGATGTTTTAAAATGTAAAATTCTACTCTGTTAGATATAAATTAAATCAGAATTCAGTATAAGTTTAATAAATGAAACAAACGAGTAATGTTACATGCATCGTTTTAAGAACTTCAAATCGAATTAAATTACACCAACATAGATTATTCATTGTCAGCCAATACATGGTTTCGTTGAGTCCCATGGTTTCATGAATGCTGCTAACAACTACTTATCACCTTTTTGGATCCTGAAATAGAAAATGTCGAATTTAGAAGTGTAATTGTGTAAAGTATACAGCAAAGGCTAAATACATTATACTTATATTATTCCACAGTTATATGTAAAAAAACTTGGTAAATCGCATGACCACCAAACAGTTTATACATGTATTCAGTCGTTTCAAGACGTCACGATTATAAATTTTATTTAGGCGAAATACTACTGTAATTCTTCAAAACATATTTGATCAGGTTGTAATTTTCAGTGCATATCTAATAAAATTAAACTAAAACTTATCCTTCAATTCCGCCAGGCAAACATTGACTCTTGGTGGTTTTGGGTACTATTAATGGACCTCTTAGCTAATATAGCTCCTCATATATTCAAATGCTAATACACCTTTGATCTTCATTGTTAAGAAGGTTTGAGCGTTCCTGATAAGGGGAAATCAGGAAAATCGTTTCGAACAAATATAATGTATTATTTCTATTTTGATAAAAAACATGCGTGAAAGATAATTACGATTGTAGGAAGTGATTAATACACTGCTTTCTCATTTAAAATGCAAGGTTCTTTTTGCTATTTTTTTATTTGTCGAAAGAAACCTATCTCGTTTGTCTAAATTTTTACAAATAATTACGAATTTACAATATCCTAGTTTTGATTGATTTATAAGCGTGAATTCCTTGACTGGAATATACCATTTTAGATTTCTGCATTTTAACGATAAAAGTCGATTTCATGTGTAGGTACTGATTAATTCAAAAATTGATATAGCGAACATAATCAACATAGATGAAAGCAAAATAATAAAAAAAAACAATATACGATGCGATTTCTCTGGTCAGATCACTGCATAGTAATGTTTGCCTCAGAATTTAATAATAAAAAAAACAATATACGATGCGATTTCTCTGGTCAGATCACTGCATAGTAATGTTTGCCTCAGAATTTAATAAAAACAATCTCGCTTTTCATTCATAAGATTGTTCTCATTAGTCGCAAAATATGTGATCAAACTTTAAGTGTTATTTTCCTCCATCTAAAATGTGCATAAGCTTCCATACCATTTCCATATTTTGCAGTGTTCTTGGGACTGAAACAGAAAAATATTTCTTATAATATGCAAATTATATAGTATGCATTGTAGTTAATTCATGAATGATATTATTCAATTCAAAATGTATTTATTTCAAACGTATTATGCAATCTTGTCTAAGTATACAGTTCGTTGGTTTACTTGCAGAACTGAACGGTGATGGCTATTTGATTTCAAATGATATTTTCCTTTACCAAAATCGAATTTAAGTCAAAGGTATAAACAAACACAGATAGGTCTTTTAGTTTCTATTTAAGATCCAAACATACACACAAAATAGTGTTCACTTGAAAGGAAATCAAATAGGATCTGTATAATTTTTTATGTATAAATTAATTTTCCCGTGAACAGAATTATACAGTAAAACCTGTATAAAGCGGAAGGCTAGGGGACTATGGAAAAGGGCCGGTTTGGACAGTGGGCCGGTTTATTCAGGTTTCCATTTTGACCGGAAGTTAATGACTTGTGACGTCCGATATATTGCATGTAAAAGTTCTGTCTGTCTGATTGTAAGCTATAAACTCATTAATACAAAACGCAATAACATAATAACTTCGCATGATCGTTGTTTTGAATCTCCTTATTCATTGGCTTATACATTTAAGAAACTGGTTGTTCCTCAAGGTCAAAAAAATAATATTTTAACCGTTTTTTCCATATCCTAGTATGTAAAATAGACCTCGGTTGCATCAATATTCGACATGTCACTTTCACTTTCACTTTGTGTTCATGGTTTTCATTTGCATCATAATCCTCGAGCGTGTTGTGACACGAGAGTTTCGTTTTACTTCCATCGTTCATTTCCGACGTTGGTATAGCCGATTAAAAAGCCAGAATTTTATTAAACGAAATTTCATCAAGATCAAAACATTGTCCTACAGTGTACAATACTGATTGATTGTTGTCATCCGGGTGTTCTTCATTATCAGGGTCATTGGTTTAGGGGTTCACACCAGGGAACCCAGGATGTAAATTTTCTAACTCTAAAAAAATTATCTAAGTTACAACGTAAGATCTATCCGAGATATATTCGTTGTGTCTTTTAGTTTAATTTACACTTTTATAGTGTTTTATTAATACAGCTCACTACTGTACCATCGTAAGTTCACGGTTTAACACCTGGCTAATTGATTATCCTGAAAAGCCATCTTGTATAAACAAATATGTCTTGATTGCATATCGATCAATACTGTTTGATTAATTAATTATTAATTAGACAAACCGATTTTGACAGGTAATAATTGATGTAATTAAGAGTATTGGGACTGAATCATTAGCCCGGAATTCGGAATACACAGATGCCGGTTTACAAAGGGTATTTTAACAAAGACTTTGAAGGGGAAAAAATGGGACTTTAATTTTCGGCTGGAATGGACAGGAAACCGGTTTATTCAGGGTCCAGTTTACTCAGGTTTGACTGTAACTCTTGTTTTCTTTTTCCAAAGAAGTATTTTGTTGAAATGTTTTTTCGTATGTCCGTTTCGCATGTTTTATATTATAATAATAAAAAGTCGGGAGTTGGTTATCGGGGAAATGTTTATTCATGATATGACTTGATATTAAGGATAAGATACAAATATAATTTGACAACTTTCTTCAGAGACTTTTGATTTCAAATAGTTTATAATTAAATCGAGATTAAAATTGGAATTAGTACATAATTATAAGAACAAAAAGTTCCGATTGATTACATTGTTGATATTTGAATATGTTGAATCATAGCTGTAGTTAAATCTTTTTAATAATTAATCCCTATTTTCCTCGATTTTTAGCATTTTTAGAGAGAGAAAACGGATAAATACATGAGATTAACTTTTAAATTCATGTTTCTATTAATCCTCATATAGCATGCAATACACTAAGTTTCTTGGGTTAGTGAAATAAGGTATGTTGCAAGTAAATGCGTTGCAAAAAAAATTACATACATGCTATTGAAGAAATAAACTTCTTCGCTTGAAATAAGGTAATTGCCCGTTACTGAAAAATTGAACTACATTATGAATTTAAACAATTATTTTGGTCTGAAACAGGTATTAAAAGACTGACAAATATGTTCTTAAGTCATGTTCAGTGTTTCAGTCATTTTTCAGACTAATCCACTGCAGTAAATTCAGCACTGTTCACACAATTCTGTTGAAGACAATTTAGACTGGTTCAGTCTCTGTTCGGGTTATTAGTTGTTCTCATTTAACTGTACACATTTATATCAGACTGAATTGTCTGAAAAAAGCTACTTAACAGTTTTGGTTTGACTACAAGCGTAATGTCTGAACTGTATCAATGTGTATTGAATTCATCGGAAAATTAACTTACACTCATAACAAGACTTCACCTTTGCTGTTTTCAGGCTTTCCACATGAAGTTAAGAGTACAATTACTGTGTAATACTAAATTGCATATACTTTTGATCTTTTTTTCTTATTTTTATAAATAGATTTTAAAACCCCTACCTAAAGCCCTTTATCTAAAGACACGAAAATCAACTGATGTTGCTTATTTAATTGCGAAGTGCAATGTTTGATCAAGACAGACTGCGAACGGAAAATGTATACCCGTGTTTGCCATTTGCAATTGTTTCTCCTTTGACATTTTGTGACTTGATTATTTTTGTTACTGGCTAGATACTTTATATCCTTAACATATTATTGATGATGATATCGATGTTATTTAGACAATATAAAGTTAAAAGATTATTATGTGAAGTAATGGATCAATATACAAGATAAGACGCGTATGTACTAATATTTAAAACGCTTTAAATTTAAGTAAAATCTAAAAAGATTCAGAACTTCACAATTTTGCATCTTACAATCAGGAACGTGACATTATTTCAAATATAAGAATAAGCCATGTATTTATTATGTTACTATTTAAAGGGAAACTAACTAAAACATTATTTTGAGTTAGTTAATGTCATGCTTATAACAGTAAGCAATACATATTTCCACAAACAAAATGCACATTTTGACAATGTTATTCATTATCTTGTACAATGTTAAATGTCATACTTTAAAAACCTTCTTTGCGAAGTGATAAAAATTAAGGAAACATATCTTTTTAAAATGACGAGACATGGGCACGCATATTTGATTTGAATTTACGAAGAAACAAAAACTTTTACATACCTTGTGCCATGCATACTTCTACTGTCATTTGTCGTAGTTCTGTATTTTTTCCTCTTTTGATCATCTATTGAGCAAAACACAATTTGAATGAAAGTGTTCCGTCATATTTTCTTTCCGTAAATTGTTTTGTTGTACATTAGGCCGTTTGTTTTCTCAACTGAACTGTTTCATAATTTCCATGTCGGGGCTTTTTATAGCAGACTATACGGTATGGGTTTTTCTCCTTGTTGAAAGCAGTAACATTGCCTATAATTGCTTACATCCTATTCATTTTAACGTTGGTGGATAGTTGTCTCATTGGTCAACATACCACATCTCCTTTTTTATATAACAGTCAAACGATTTTCAATAGTTTTTGTTTTGTGATGGAGAGTTACCTATGCTTTCTGTTTTTTTATATTGTTTTGCTGTGCATGTGCTGATTTTGTGTCATGGTTTGCTATCCCATCCTTTGTTTTCCTATTACCACATGTGTCTGAATTTCTCGCCATTTCTATAGATAAGAATAAAAACGATTGACTTTAAATAATTATTGTATGTTAGAAGGATATGTTGTGCGAGTACTGACATCACCTCGTTTTATCTATTTATCCAAGTTAAAGTAAACATTTACTTCACTGGTAACCCAATTTTAATCTGAAACGGTCATTTTCATTAGAATAGCTGTTGAAAGACTAAATACTTAATTGTCATTTTCGGTCTTTCAATCAATATTCAGATGTATCCACTTTGGTAAATTTAGTATTGTTTAGACAATTCGCTTGTGGTCAATTAAGATCTGTTCTGTGTTTGTTCGGACTATTCAGTACTGTTTTACCTGTACATATCAACATCATGCTGAATTGTCTGCAAAGCTACCGAACAGAACTGAATTGACTGTAAGGGAATTGCCTGAACAGTACTGAATTGACCGCCGTGGAAAATTAGATGAATAAAATAGCATGACTGAATGTTTTATTAATGAAACTTTTCAGATGATGTTCAGATCAAAATGATAGTTTCAGATCAAAATTATTTTATTAGTGCTTGTAAGTCGCTTCCGGTGAAGTCATAATCTCTGTAAAGCTACGATAATTGGAACATGAAAACTGTCAGTGGTGACACACATAGTCGCTGACCAAGGCAGTCACAATTGAAAGGATGACTTAATCTGTGTGCCATTAAGAACTCGTAATGCAATAGTTTTCTTGGAAGCAGCGACCCTTAATCATGGTAGTAGTAAACGCTGTACGGGACATTACATCAATGTGGACATTTTAACTCTGTATTCATTTGTTACTGGATTGATCCTAGATAGAAATGGATAGTTCAGAATAAGTAAATTGTAATCATTCTATTTTGGCGTAAAATGTTGTTTTGAACCTCCACTCCTTGTCAAATCGAGATTTTCGACAACATATGAAGTAAACGTATAGATATTGCTGATAACGTTATTTAAAATTCTGTAAAAAAGATGCAATTAAGATTGCCTTCAAATCGGAAGAATTCTGAGAGAGGACACTCTATAGCGGAAAAATAGGGTTTGGGTTGACGCTAGCTTTTTTTCGTTTTTCTTTGAAAAGTCTTATATTTTGTCCGCCTCCTTAACATAAAGGAATGAGTTTGCAGTAAAACAAAATCAATTGAATTCCATGGTGATGCATATTGTGTACCCTTTGACATTTACATTTAACAAAATTGAAGTTAATCTAATGATAATGTGTCCCTTCCTGTAACTTCATATGTGTATTTTCTTTTAAGAACCAAACTTGGACTATTTTTTAAGTTTTTCTTTAAGTGTGGAATTGTGAGTTTTTGTACTAAAGGCATATAAGTCATTTGTTGTAACCAATTGCATTAGAATGGTGATTTAGACTTGATGCACTCTTATAAGTTTTTGTCTTAAGTATCAAAATCAGATTTATATCTATCATACAGAAAACACTATTACAGTGTTTCAAAAGCTTGTGTTTGGAATAGTATTAATATTGATAATGAATTGGAAAACAGGTTGTTTTGACTATTGTTAGACCCAGAAATAACATATTTAATAAGGAAATGTGGAATTATTGATAGGGAGACAAGTATCAAGAGCTCAAATGACGTAGATGTAAACACTTTTAGGTCTTCAGTAATGAGAAAGAACATTATCGCGTAGTCACCTATAAAAAGGCACCGGCATCAAAAATGTAAAAATGTAAACTAATGGTTTAAATTATAACAAACCAACATACGAGAAGCACTTATGACAGACCCGAACAAACGATAACCTCTGTTTGAAAAGTAATTTATAAAATGTGGGTAACCAGTAGAGGGAAGCAAGATCCTGGTCTTGATCTTTGGTTGAATTTCAACAGATACATAACTTTTAAACATATAGATGATTATTCAACAGAGAGACCATTTCAAAGGTGTCTTCTCCAGTACATTTTGTGGGACTGTATATTGTGGTCCAAAGTCAATATCGTATTCCTCTATCAAGCTGTTCATACAAAGTATTAACATTCAAATACGATAATTTTGGGTTAAATCCACGAGGACAAACTAAACGGCGTTTTGAAATTATCAATTACATAAGAATATTGCTATTTCCAATCTAATTCATTCTTTTTGTTTGCACCTGTCCTATATCAGGAACTTGTTGCTCAGTGGTTGTCGTTTGTTGATGTGGTTCATAATTGATTTTCGTTTCTCGTTTTTTATATAGATTAGACCGTTGGTTTTCCTGTTTGAATGGTTTTACAATAGTCATATTTGGGACCCTTAATAGCTAGCTGTTCGGTGTGAGCCAAGGCTCCATGTTGCAGGCCGTACTTTGACCTATAATGGTTTACCTTTAACAAATTGTTACTTTGATGGAGAGTTGTCTCAAAGGCATTCGTACCACATCTTATATCTATCGTTTTATAGGCCTTATTATGACTTTGAAATGAAGAACAGCAATACAAGCGATGTTGCTTTGCTTGTTGTGTATATTGCTGTGCGTGTACTGAGTTTGTGTCATGGATGTATACTCCATATCCTTTCTTTTCTATAAGATTGAATTTATCAGTTTTGTTATCTTAGTACTATTTCACAATGACACTATTGCTTTGTCCCAATTCAAATCAATTATACACTGACCCTGCTTTCTGGAGCGCTTGTAAGCCAAGTAAGCGACAACTAGTGACCCAACTCCTGCTACTGCACTCACCGCACCTATTATTCCTTTAACTACTGTGTCAGCTGTGAAAGTATTGATAACCTCGATATAAAATTATAAAATTAAAACATTTAGAAAAAGTTAAATAATAAAAACTTGTAAGCTAGTAGTGGATGTTCACCTTGGCATTGTCTAGAAAGAAACCAACATCACACATAAAGGGACTGCGGTTGGTGCATTGTAAAACGTATTACTTAACATGACACTCCAAAAGAACATAATATTGTCTCGATTACGGACAATATGTTAGAAGAGAACATCATCACACTCTAAAAGTTATTTGAATCGTTTACCGTCCACACATAGGTCTAATCAATACATTTATATTTATTAATTGGGCATATAATATGATTTTTGCAATCTGAAAATGAAGAGTGTTTGCTTCAACATTGCCACAAATAAATGATGATCAAATGTAAGAGATAATTTTACAACAATTTAGTATAGCATTCAGTATAGGAAGGATATTTTCTGATACCATACGTACTGTAGTCTTCGTTATCCTCAGATTTAGTATCTGGTGTAACACCTGCCTTAACTAAAAAAAAAACAAAATAAACTTTACAATAAAATTTCACAAATCTATTAAAATCATATGATACTGTAACAACAGTATTTAATGAAAAATGAAATATGATTGTTTAAAATTAGAAGTAGAACTATAGATGGGAAATGGTATCAAACTGTCCCGAAAAGAATAAGTTTTGCAAACATTATCAATCATTTCTTCATGAACAATGTTCACATAGTTCAATCTAGCATTTTATGAACAATAGATAAATATATTCAATCTCGAAATATGTATGTGAATTTGACACAAGGAACAATGCAATATATACCTAATCGATTGACTGGTTATTGATAGATTGAAAGAGAAAAAGAGTAACATTTAAACAAGACCACGGTTTACACACTTTTGATTACATGCATGCATAGCAGTACACACTTAAACTGTTGATGCACCGGTCTCGCTCATTTTACAGCTCGTGCGATTTCCTAAAGTTTTGTTTGTCAACTTGTACATCTTGTTTGACTCTTTTGAATTTAATTTTGAGATTTAAACATAGGTAAACATCTGTTGCCTTAATTTTGTCACTGTTTTTAGTTCTGGGAGTATGACATTTTTTATTTGCATTTGTTCAGTTATAGAGGATTCTTCAAAGCAATAACTATATCTAGAGACAACAATTGCTTTAAGAATTGAATGCTCTTTTTAATATTTTTATTGGGTTGAAAATTTTGTACGAAGCACAGGAGCATTTCATACTAAAATGTGCGCATTACCAATGCGTGTACAACTATATAATTAACCAAAGAGAGCATTCGATTGGTAAAATAATATTTGTATGCTACGACCATGAAATTATGAGTTATATCAAGCTTTTCTTTTTTTTTAATATCCATTGTTGTGGCGTTGTCATGGGAAGCATGCGTTGTCATGGATTTAAATATAAAACAAACATGCAATGTAACTTTATAATGATACGTCCTTCAAGAAATACATAAAAGATATAATAAATCAGAAAAAGATAGAAATGATATACATTTACCTTTGTCTCATTTAGTAAGCAGCATTTAAATTTCAAACGTTACATTTTGCACTGTCAATTGCATTATTTTTGTTGTTGTGTCCTACATATGTGTATCTTCAGTATTTTGTGACAAACACAATACGAAAAATAGAACAATTTAAATTAGAAGACACGTTAGTGTAAAAAAAATCATTAGCCCACCTGTCAATTTTGCTGGAAAGCTTCTACCTGTACCGACAGAATTAACTGCCAAACATGTATATTCGCCAGTCATCGATTCCATTGCCAATGGAATGATAAGCGATGGATTGTCAATGGTGACTCCCATGATTCCGATCGAAGCAGATGAAAGTCTTGTTATTGAGCCATGTATATATCTTTCCCAGTACACCCTTGAAATTGCCGGAAAGCCATTTTTAATAGAACAAGTAAGAGTTATTGTATAACCAATGCCTGTAAGGTGCGTTATAGATGGAACATCAACTTCAGGAAGACCTGCAACAATTAATAGTATTACAACGTTGTTCGTTCATCATGTTCATAGTTTGAATAACATTTTAATCAAAGTTAAATGGGACCTTAATCTTTATTATTTTTTTTACCGATACCACTTGCCCATATGCCATAAACATGAACATCATTTACTCTCTGGCAAATATTTCGAAAACTAGTAAAATTAATCGTTAGCTATACTGAAATGATTTTCCGATTATATGTAAGGGCATTTATCGACTTTGGTCTATAATAATGGAAAACTGAGGTGACGCTACTGTTGAGACATTATCTTACACACATTTTGCCGTGCATAACCAATAAATTACATTGCAGTAGTGGTTAAAATAAATGTTCAGCCCTATAAATTTGAAGTTAAATCCAGAAGTCTTTTTTATACACGTTTAAACAAATATTACCTCCTATAACATTGAGTTCAATTGCTGAACTATAGCCCATTCCAAATTCATTGACTGCAAAGCATTTGTAAAGTCCGGCATCCGAATCTGTTGCGTGGATCAATATTAGTGATGGATTTGCAACAGTAATGCCTTCGGTTCCACTGGTCCCATTATCTATAACTTTTTTGATACCATTAAATTCTACTTCCCAGTAAATTTTGGTTGCAGGTGGTATAGCGTTCACAGCACATAATATGTGTACTTTTTCACCATACTTCACTTGTGGCAAATCCGTTGTGATACTAATATATGGCAGCTCTGAAACACAGAGAATAATGTCTAGACGGTTGATAGTTCATAAATGTATCAAATTAGGTAGCATATTTTTAGTTTCTGATTACTTTTTATCGATAATATTATTAACAGAACATCGAATAATCTGTAGGTAAAAAGTTATTGTAATTTTAAAAATCCGACATCACAAGATAGCATATTAATCTTTTTTGAAAGAACCTTACCACCGATGACTTCTAAATTTGTGGCTTCACTGTATCCTGTTCCGACATCATTTGAAGCTATACATCTGTAAGATCCGTTATCTGATGTAGTGGTTTTTACTATAGTCAGCGATGGTGCATCAAATGAAACTCCCTGCACTCCAGCTGTCCAACTATTAATCACTTTTTTCGTACCATTAAATTCTCTCTCCCAGTAAACATTTTTGATAGGTGGATTAGATGTTATATTGCAGAAAATTGTTACGTTTTCACCGTACTTTATTGAATACCTAGTATCTTTAACATAAACAATCGGCACATCTGCAATCGAAATGTGGAACATTAAAATTTCTGATATCATGCGAATTTAATGTAACAATTATCATAAAAATAGGATTATCATATTATCTTCAACCAACAGAATATATTGACAGAAAACACAGAAAGCCAAAAAAAAAATATGAACAGAATAAAACGTAAAAACCCTTGGTATCATGGTTATGTCTGAAAAGAGTCAAGAAGAGAATGTTTACGTTCGTTTAGAATAATTAATATGTTCAGTTCTACCGGGAAAAAATGCATAGAATGCGTATAAACATATGTGGTCTGACAGTTTGTTCCATGAAGTAGCCATTTTTAATGACATAATGTTACTATTCCTTTTTAAATATATAAGGAGATAGATGATATTATGGAAATATCAAATGCATGTAATAGATTTAAAACTTAAACAAAGACTAAATAACGAAAGCCAAAATGTAAACGAAAAAAAAAACATAAATAAAAATAAATACAAAACAGACCCACCCATGTATACAATAACATACCTCCTATGATAGTAACATGTATTGGTCTGCTATGTCCGGTTCCAATGTCATTTGTAGCAAAACAAGTGAAAATTCCAAATTCGGATGTTGTTATATTTGAAATAGTGAGCGATGGTACTTTGATGGAACTTCCAGTTACCCCTTCGGTATCTTCTGAAATTTTTGTTATAACTCCATTATTATTGTACTTCCAATATATATCTGTGACGGGATTCTGTTCTGATGTATGGACTGAACATGTCATGGTAAGAGAACTTCCATATGTCACGATATACCGGTTTGATTCAATATTTACAATAGGAGGCATGTACCTCGGTTCTACAATAGAAAACAATCATCTGTTATTCTATCTGACAAATAACCTGAATTGTTCAACACTTTTATATGTTAGGTGTTGGAGAATATAAAAAATAATAATAATAATTTTTCTATCAAAGTGTCACATACTTGTCTACAAAGTTATAGACAGATTAAATAATATACATTGCACAATAATAAAATAAGACAAATACCAAGCCTAGATACGCTTATATAAATCATAAATATAAGTTTCTGTTTGGATATCTTATCGATAAGACGTCTTATTTAGTGATGCATTTAGGACAATATTTAGGAAATGACTGCATTGTATTTATGTAGTGTCCTTTATAACGACCTACACCTCAATACATAAGGCGACTTGTAAATAATTAGCATGGTATCAAAATGTCGACGATTTCGACATAATTTAAGAATAACACAGCTTTAACAGTAATATTAAAAAGTAGATGTTTTCTGATTTTGTTTTGATTAGTAGGTTCGCATTGTTGTTGAATTTTCCTAAAGGGGCATTAGCTAAGAGACATAGAAAGAATTAAAATATGAATTGTTTTTGTTCAAACATTAATGAAAGTGAAATAGTGAAGTAAAAATTCGCTTTTAGTAACCAGTTTGGTTCAGTTTTGTCAAAGTAGGCAAATGAACATTTTTAATAAATTATACACTTGCAAGTGATTAATTTGATCTCATTAAATCAGTATTCTTGTGAACTTCAATTGAATCACTTTGCCAGAGATGTATAACGCATGAACTAGGCGTGATCAGCTAGTGAAAGGGAACAAAAATGTCAACTTTGAAAGTGAAACAAGGTTGACTGATTCGATCTACAAAACTAATTCTTATACAGGTAAAAACGACTATGAACATATTGTTTTAACCTTTAATATGAAATCAAACAGACCTAGAATATTCGATTTTATATTTATGTTTACAACGGGTATATATAACCGTCGGCATTCTTCAGAATCAGATGGCGTGTAGATAAAATTATACAAAACATGATGATACAAATTGTCGAGTTCAAGCATCGTAAATTGTTTATTTTAGAGTGCTTTTTATATACGTTTCAGTGTGTTATAAGCCAATTACGAAAATTTGAATCAAATCGGTGAACATCGATTTGACAGCCATTGCTCCTTTTGCACGTTGTTGTGTGCATGTTTTGTTTAAACATATTTACTTCATTTTCACCAAAAATGTATGAGATTTGGGTATAGGTAGCCTACTGTTGATTTTGATCTTGATTATTTTCCCACTGAAACAGTTAATAGATTAAACGCGTGCCTGATGTACGGTTATATAAGCCTAGTATAATCATTTTATCCGCTTTGTTCATCATAACATATTTGTATCGCAAAGATTTTACTGAGGAATTATTCCAAAAAAGAAAATTGGGTGACAAAAAGAGCCTCCATGGAATATTCATCCCTAATTTACTTTTTATATTTTTATCTAAAAACTGTAATGCTATCCAGCAGCAAAGCTATGGAAGACATACACATTTTATTGTGATCGCTAAAATAAAAAAAAACAAAATCTTACCACCATATACAGTTACATTCACTGCTTTGCTTTGTCCAATTCCAAGAACATTTTCGACATAACAGATGTACAGTCCTGTGTCGTCTTGAGATACTCGTTGAAGGTACAGTATTGAAAAAGACTCAGACTGTACTTCTCTATAATACCAAGTTGAAATAATACCATGCGATTCTTTTTTCCAGTATACATTGAAGTGTATAGGAGCAGACGTGATGTTACACTGAAGAGTTATATTACCACCGTATACGACATTGTATGGTCCAGGTTCAACATGCACAAGTGGAATATCTATAAACAGGTGATCAAATTGAACGTAATAAAACATATTTGAGATTGAATATGCACGCATACAAAGCCATATGTAACCGTATGCATCTTGCATTGTCGACAATGGAACTGCATTTATTTCTTTGAAATTTCAATGATTGAAAATACCTTTTCTGAGATTAATTACCAATGTATATATACATGTTTTCACTTAAAAAAAAACATCAGTCATCTGTTATCTGCGATAGAAGAAATTTTCTTTAATCAATAATTAACTTCATATATCCAGTTGCTTTTTTAGTTTCTTGAAAATCATGACATTTAATATTTCTAATTCTGTTTTAGTGTTTTCTGTCCAATATGATTTTTTTGGATGAGTTTTTGTTGTCTTAAGATATGTTAAATGAATATTTACGACATGGTCTCTTATCATGCTAATATTGACTTCAAAGTTAAAGATAACTAGTTTTAGAACTGAAGTTAATGCTCTTCAACTTATTGTTTGATTTGACCATGCAAGTGTTTTGTTTTGAGCGACAATGAGTTTTATTGGACCTGTTAATATCTTTAGTACATGTTAAGTTGTTGTTATCTGTAACATCTTATTTTATGCATATGGATATTGAACAAAATTTATCCTGTTTGATTCTTTTATAATAGTTAAATTATATTTGTTTCGTTTAATATACCTTTGGCGTTTTTCTACTAGACGATATAGCATTTTAAATTACTAACCTCCAATAATTCTCAGATTAATTGATCGAACACCTTCAGTAGAGAATTCATTAGTACCAAAGCACCGGTACCGAGCACTATCGTTGAAGGAAAGCGATTTTATTGTCAGAAAATGATATTCCAAGATGAAACCGTCTTTTTCGGGAATATGACGTGAATAATTCCTTAAGGTAACTTTTCCATTTTCATAATATTTGGGACTTACAATGTAAGAATCATCAGCTGTGTATTTATTCCAGGTAACCCTGAAACCATATCGTATTTCATATTCTACGCTGCACCAAAATGTAACTTCCGAACCATACACTTTTGTTTGATCAGTTAAATTAGTCTCGAATAATATCTCTCCTACAAATATAAATTTAATTTGTTCTCCATTGAACTTCAAAATACATTTCATTACAAATATTTAATATTTTAAGATTTAGAATCCATATAATTCAAAATTGATTAACTTGTGCTATATCTATATTAAGTCAATAACAATTTACCGATGTTCAAATCTAATAAACACAGGAAGGAGCAAGGCCAATTGGAACAGGAATGCACTAACTAAAACAATTGACAACAAGTCAAAAAAGTATAATCCCTAAATACTTCAAGAGCTATTGAAAAAATATTATCGGTTATATAATAAGCTAACATTAAAGATGTATTACCATGGAATGTTTTGTGTGAGAAAAGAATAAATTGTTTCAAAAAACACAAATTGCTCTTGTTTGCTGAATAAATTTGATTGTAAGTTATGTTTTATTAAATACCTACTTTTTTTAGGAATGAGGCGGTTCCGAATTAAACATTTACCTTAGGCATCTGTCAATTATAAAAGACTGTATATTGACTGTTCATGTTTTGATTGTTCTGTGACATTGGTTTGCTGTCTCATCAAACTATAAATTGGTATCGCATTTTATTCAAAATCAAGCAGTTTGCTTTGGTATAGAATTATTGTCATCATTGTACTTCTCCCGAACAACAGTAATCCCTTGCTAAAGTGTAGAATCCATTGTCTGTTTAGAATGTATAAATATGCAGCCACATTCGTTTAAAATAGAAGCGTTATATTCGAGAGTTTCACGTTCCCATCCTATTTAAGAACCTTTGGAGCACCATTTTAAATAAAAAGTCGTGCAAATTTACTCTAAATATCAGCAAACTGTTGATCTAACCTGGCCAGGATTCAAACTAATGGTATTGTGATATCGGGACAGTGTAGGGATTCAGAGTATAACGATCTTTTGATTGGCATTACGACCCGTGTCAATGATAAATGATAAATGAGCCATGCTCCCTGATGTAATATGTAAATGCTGCTCTGAATCCCTACACTAAGTATTAGATCAATATTATGAACTTCGCTATATTTTTTTCAGTCGAATAACAACACCTTGTAAGAGCTGTTTAGTGTCCCAACATATCCATCTAATGTTTGTGCCTTTTAGACTATATTCGATACAAAACTTTAAAAAAAGTAGATTAACAAAAATACAGAATACCATGGAAATTCAAAACAAAAAGTCATGTATTCAATGGCAAAAAATAAGCTAAAACACATCAAACGAATGAAAAAAAACTGTCATATTCCTGACTTTGTACAGACATTTCTTTTTGTTAAAAAGTTTCTTAGTGCTTGTTTAATTCAAGTAACAGGACGACGAATATACCATTATAATGTCATACGAATTACATATTATTTTTCTCATTGGTGATGTTGAAACAAAACACATTACTTCCGAAATCATCATATTTTAATACTTTCAACATAGAACCCACGAAGAACCAAATTTCAAATATAGGACGAGTGCATCTGGATTTTAACCTGCTTATCACAAAATGTATAACATTGGGTTGTGTAAGGCAACTAAAACAAGTATCAAGTATTTCTATGTATACACTTTTTTGGATGTGAACATCCTGACATATTACATTTGTATACATGTATTTCTGAATTGTCGTTGGGGCATCACATATCAATCATTGAAGAATTTGTTTAAAAAATAAAATCAAGACTACAAATTCTAATCAAAAGTAATTTCGCTAAACATGTTTCGTTTATATCTTGGATGATTTTTTTTAAAGGGTTTAAAATTTCCTATGATTTTCGAGGTTCTTCAAAATCGATCATAATTACCAAATCAATAAACAAGAAATAATGAACGGTTTTGACCCAAGAAATAAGGGGTTTGACAACTATTTTAAACTTGCACATACTGTTTGTAAATGCATACAATCAAGAAATATGAATAAAAAACTGAAGCGGTTTTATGACATACAGTCACAATCACATCATTGTATGCATCGTTTCTGTATTTATTTCCAGTATGCATAGTTGAAAAACAACAAAATAAATAAGAAAAAGCCTTATATAACTACATGTATCGACATATTCTCAATAAATATAAAGTTGTTTCTAAAAATGCACAGTTGGTCGTAAATGCCGGTACAAGAAAGTTTTGTTAAAGCGTTAAGGTCAATCATATGAAACTGTGCATTTTTATAATGATTAAAATTGAGAATGGAAATTGGGAATGTGTCAAAGAGACAACAACCCGACCATAGAGCAGACAACAGCCGCAGCGAGAAACACCCGGAGGAGTCCTTCAGCTGGCCCCTAAACAAATATGTTACTAGTTCAGTGATAATGGACGTCATACTAAACTCCAAATTATACACAAGAAACTAAACTTAAAAATCATACAAGACTAACAAAAGCCAGAGGCTCCTGACTTCGGACAGGCGCAAAAATGCGGCGGGGTTAAACATGTTTTTTGAGATCTCAATCCTCCCCGTATACCTCTATCCAATGTAGAAAAACAAACGCACAACACTACGCATAGTAAAACACAGTTTAAGAGAAGTCCGAGTCCGATGTCAGAATAGGTAACAAAAGAAACTAAACAAAATAAAAATAATACATAAATTAACAAAGGACTACTAGCAGTTACTGACATGCCACCTCCAGACCTCAATTAAACTGATTGAAAGATTATGTCTTCATCATATGAATATCTAGCACAATTTCTCCCGTTAGGGGTTTATTATCATACCATCATAAAATATATGAGAAGAACATAACCCGTATCATGCCAACAACTGGTTTTAGAATAAATATGTTTAATTCAGATGCAAAGACCCTATAAGTGAATCAATATTAATGCCAAAATATGCAATCTTTAATGACCTGACAACAGCATCGTCACTATATCCCTTCTTAATAAGTCTGTTTTAAAGGTTTTATTAGCTTTTGAGGTGCAAACTGACATTTTTGTGCTTTGTAAAGAATATTACCATAAAAGATTGGATGTGAAATACCTGAACGTATAAGATGTCTACATGTTGAGTTATATTTACGAATGATGTCCTTGTACCGATGATAAAATGTAGTAAATGTTTTGACTAGTTTGTGATAACGAAAACCCTGGTGTAATAATTTTTCAGTAATACATAAATTTCTCTCGCTAAAATCGAATACGTTGTTACATACACGAGCGAATCGTAACAGTTGAGATATATAAACACCATAAGATGGTGACAAGGGAACGTCACCATCTCAAAATCATCTCTTTTATCATAATATTTTGTATTAATCTTCCCGTTCACGATATAGATATCAAGACCGAGAAAGAGCAGTGGTCATTGTTAGTATTAGCTTTATTTAAAGTTAGTTCAACAGGATAAATTTCTTTAGTATACATGCTGAAGTCATCATTATTGAGAGCCAATATATCATCCAAATATCTAAAAGTGTTGTTAAATTTTTGTATCAAATATTGTTTCGATAGGTCTTTGCTGATTTTAGTCATAAATTGTAACTTATAAGAATACAAAAACAGGCCCGCAATAAGTGGTGCACAGTTAGTCCCCATTGGAATTCCGATAACTTGACGATATACGAAATCGCCAAAGCGAACAAAAATGTTATCTAGTAAAAATTCAAGGGCATATATAGTATCAAAGCATGTCCAATTGACATAGTTCTTTTGTTTGTTGCTACTAAAAAATGACCTAAAAGAGTTTGAACATATGTATTCGCATTCTGACTTTGTAAATGCCCATTCAATTAGATGTGTGAGTTTTTTCTTGATAAGAATATGAGGCAAAGTGGTATGTAGGGTAGAAAAATCAAAACTTTGAACATATTCAAAATCACCAATATATGCATGCAATTTACCAAGTACTTCCAACGAATTGTTGACACTCCAAAAGTAATTAATTCCACTATTTTCAAAGGCTTTATTTGAACAATTTATTATCAGGTTTTTGATTGTACCAAGTGTACTAGTAAGTAGAATAGACAATTTAGTAGTGGAACAATGGCTTGAAGACGAAATAAATCTATTTTTGTAAGGTGTTTTGGGTAGCTTCCGAAGCCAGTACATTGTTGGGACTTTCATTGTATTTGGTTCTGCTTGTAAAGAAGTAGCTAAAAGTTTGTTTGTTACAGATGCCGATTTCCGAAAATGGAGTCAGTTGTAATGTTGGTGAATTCGTGATTTCCTTTTGCAGAACCTCGTTGTAAAATTTACGTCAAACAATAATGATATTATTAGCAGCTTTATCAGCCGGGACAAAAACAAATTCCTTGGCTAATTCTTTTAGTTTATATTTGATACGAGAAATAGGGTTTTTATGGTTGTTGTTTAGAGTAAAATGATCTTTAAAATGTTGTATACGTATATCAACTATGTTCATTGCTGAATTAAAAAAAGATTCCAAAGATTTCTTGTCAGCTTTTTCTCGTTTTATCCATTTCAAACAGTAAGTACGCAGTGAGTCGTTGATGATATTACGACACTCATTCCAATAAAAAATTGACGGGGGACGATATTTAGGTCCTTTACTGAGGAATGATTTTAACTCTTGGTCGCGAACGACGTTAAGGTCTCCTGTTATAACATGGGAAATGGGGCCATAAATGTATTCGGAATTACTGCAATTACATGACGTATGTGTATTTTCACTGATATTTACATCTTTACACACATTGCTATAATCAAACACATATTTCCGGGTAGATTCCTTGTAAACATAACAATTAAGAGGGAGTTCAGTATTATCAAAATATCCAGGAATTCGTTCTTTAACAGAATGATCGTTAGAAATACCGGCAATATTTACAAAATCAAAACCTTTATTGACACACTTGATTTTAATAAAATGTTTTTTTATGATCTTCAGAGCGATCAATTTTAGGAAACAGTTTAGTATAACAATATGCTATTATAATTTGAACGATTTCATACTTAGGACTGCAATATGGAATTTTTTGAAATATTCTAATATTTGATAATTTAGCCATCCATTTTTTTTTGTATTTAGATAGAGACACATTTCTTTAAAACTCTATTCCATTATAATGATAGGAATCAAAATATGATTTGATTGTTTTATGTTTAGTTATCATTGTGTTCAATCCAGGCTCCTTCTTGTGAAAATAAACCAAAACCTAAATTATGTTGGAAAGTGTCTATCAGATGAAAAATAATCAATGTATGGTAATGATGTCTTTTAATACAAATGTTCACAAGGAGCATGTTAAATTTGAACAATGTTTTCAATATGTAGTTCTGAATTAAATGTTGATTATAAGACCAACGGGGGCCCTTAGAACTGCTCTGTATGTGTTGTACATGGTCTCGGGCATACACAGATAGGTACTTATTCAGAAACATGTGTCATTGTCTACAAACCTGTCAGCAGCCCGTTTGTTTTTCATAAAATTTAAATTACTTGTTTATGTGTCTGTTTTTGGCTAATCATGTTTCAAATGATTTGTGGCACTCTATTTGTATACATGTTTGATTTACCAAAAATATAAATAATTGATTCAATTTGCTTTGTGGTTGGAACCATTTTTAGGATCTTACCGCCTAATACTGTCAGAGTGGTCGGTTCGCTCTTTCCAGTTCCTAAAATATTAACAGCAAAGCATGTGTATTGTCCTGCATCATATTTCGTTATCCGACGGATGTCCAATGACGGTTTAGTCAACGTAGCCATGTATTTATCATAATGACTAAAAGATGTAATATTTCTTAGTGTGCCATTATACATGTGTTGCCAGTATATATCGGTATGATTTGGAGTAGAAACGATGAGACATTCTAGAGTCATGTGTTCATAATACCCTTTGCTATATTGCAATGTGGGAATTGTAACCTTTGGAACACCTGTAAAATGCAGTAAAATTATATTATTATTTTTTTTAAAGTTGGTTAAAACAATCGTTTTATTTTTTGTTCATAGTTCGTGTAGTTATTTAAAGTTTTATTTAACTTCAATTGATTGTAACCTTCCATTTTACATGTTTAAGTAAACATATGTCAAACGTACAACACATATTACAAGGTAATCCCTAAAACAAAATAGTATCACAAAAATACTGAACTTCGAGGATAAATTCAAAACGGAAAGTCCCTAATCAAATGACACAATAAAAAGCTCTAACATATCAAACTATACAACTACTGTAATATTCCTGACATGGTACAGGCGTTTTTTGATGCAGACAATGGAGAATTAAACCTGGTGTTATAGCTAGCTACACCTCTCACTTGCATGACAGTCAAATTAAATTTCATTGTATTGACAACTTAGTGTGAACAGCACAAACGGACATAATAGGTCAAAATGTCAAAAAAAGTGGTACATCAGTCAACATTGAGTTATTATCTTAATCACTTTAAAAACAAACAAATATGTAAACAAACATGTACCATGGCACAATAACACAATGACGGGATGTATAAGTAAACATAATATGTAACAAAGAAACACAAAAAGGCATATAGACAAAGCATATTGGCAAACATGAAAGACGTTTAATCTCACTATACTTCACAGTGTAAGCGTTCAATTCTTTTTTTAGCCTTGCCTATACAATTTTTCTAAGTTCGTCTTTGCTTGATGGAGTTAAACGCTAGTTCTTATTGATTTTTCAGAATTGTAGAACTACTCATGCAACTATTTAAACGCCCATGTATATTCTTGTTAAATGCTTTCCTCTGAATATCTGACAACTCTACAACAGACTAGAGTCATGTGATAGCCTAAGGTTTGAGGTGCTCACAGAATAAATATTTTGAGGTAAAAACCTTTTTTTTTTCTTCATCCGGGTCTTAACTTTATAAATGTTTTTGCGACAACTGTGCCTGCAATATACCTTATTTTATTCTAATACATTGTTATTTAAAAAAGAGTAATTGACAAAAAAAAGTACGCGTAAGCTATATAAAGTTATACTTAATACTCGCATGAAAAAAGAATAACAGAAATGGCTAACTCAACGGTAGATTTAAAAAGCGGAAAGTCAATTAAATTTGTGTTATAATTGTTCACTATCAGATTACATCAATTTGCCGTTTTCCTAAATTATATAGCATAAGATTCTTCAGTGTGAGCTGTTTGCACTTTTGCATCTCTATAATGTGATAATGTATTAGAACATAAAACCTGGAAACACTGTCTTTCTGTTTTATCTGTATGCAAAAAAAAATTGTTTCATATGAGTAATAGTAGGGTTTGTATGTGCAAAAAAGATTACTCAGCCAAGTTGGCTACTAGGCTACATGCAATGTAATTTACATCAATCGAATACCTATTTTTTATTGGTTGAAGTTAGGGGGTTGTTACAGAGTAAGTGTTGTTTAGGGGAATTTTCATTGAAAGTTTTGTGTAGGTTGCAAAGACTTTCACTAATAGATTTGCAGTCAATGTGTTTGTATCGTAAAAGTGTAAATATATGACAACCTTATTGTATCTCATTTTTTTTCAATATCTAGTAATTATGTATGTCTTACACACCTCCAAAAACGGTAACATTCACAGGATTACTTTTTCCAACTCCATTCTCATTTTGAGCATGGCATATGTATTGCCCAGATTCTTCGAAAGTAACACGAGACATAAATTTTAAAACAGGAGAAAACGTTATGTTTCCTCCATAGTACGAAGTTCGTTTTATGCCATTAAGATCGCGTGTCCAGTAAACGTTGTAGTGAGATGGGTTAGACGTGATGTTACACATCAAGGTGATATCTTGACCGTATTCAACACTGTAAGGTCCTGGTTCAACATGCGCAATCGGAACACCAAAATCTAAAATATCATAGAAAGAAGTATACAGTGTTCCTATTTTATTAATGCCACTATGAACAAAACTAACTGTCTTGTATTGTATTACATCAGGAACTATTTGTAAAGAATCCTACTTTAATTAAATATTCCTTTTTTGATACTGAGATTTTGAATATTTACATTTTATCCTCAAAATCAATAGGCATTCCCCTCCACTTTGTATTCCATCTTTGAGTTTAAATCCAACCAGACAAGTGACTCATGCTACCATAAGACAATTAAAAAAAAACATATTTCTAAACAAATTTGTGTACGTAACAAGAACATCAAACATCAATCACTATGATCTATGCCTGTCAAATAATAAACATGGATTCGTTTTGATGGTCACTATGACAAACAGACAAAAGGAAGATCATCCGGTTTAAAGGGATAAACGTAATAGGAACAAACTAACAGACAAAGTGATGACTTTACGCACTCGAACAATTATCGCAGAAAATCGCAGACGCAGCGAGACTGATTAGTCGTTAACAGATCTACATTAACCACTTATCGTATAAATCAAATCTTTGATGTTATGGTCATTATATTGCATTGTTAAAGATTGTCGCATTATGGATATTTAAAACTGGCAAAACTGTAGTAACTGTTGTCGGCTAAATAGTATATGTCGTAGCCATAACTAGCACTATATGTTCGTGCTGAAATGAACTTTATAAAATGACATAGAGTTGCCGACATTCAAATCAACCGTTCCTTAATAGGTATTTTTTTTTTCATAAGCAATAATATCCCATCTTCAAAATGTATTTGCGTACTAGTACTTTCGGCTTGAAACGCGATATTTCAGATAATCATTTTTACAGGTATAATACTTTGAGCTAGCGTCTAAGAATTTGACTCAATACTCTATGAAATGTTTCAGTACTTACTTTTCTTTTTATGGTTGTGAGATATGAGGCAATAGAAACCCGTATGTGTGTTCAATCTTATACAGTACATGTACTTTACCATATCTCTTTTGGTCAGGTAAATTTGTCAAAATAATTGTCAATGATAAAACACAAACGAACTTTCTTATAAGTTTCATCGAAAAACTTACCCCCTAAGAAAGACACTGCCAATTCTACATTGCAAAAAAATGAAAAAAAAATAACAAACCAGTATAGTATTATTCAATATCCCCGACAGAACGTAGTGAGGCCATACTATCTACGTAATAGGTAAATTGTGTAAGGAATGAAAAATACGTAGCGATTTCTTAAACCTTAAATGTTACTTACTGACTCATTTTCTATAAAAATTTATCAGTGAATGTAGATATATTTAGATTTGTCGCATTATAGATCTCGTACAATCACTGATAATACGAAAACGACTTATATAAGTGGGGTATACGTCACTGAAACGGTTATTTTTATTTTACAAATAACGAATAAAATAACAATGTAAAAATATGTCAACATTCCTATGTTGGGACGTGCACATTATAAAGTGACGTGAATCATTCCTTTTATATGGTCGATCAGTACATTAACAGGAACGTGCATAAAAATGACACTTTTCAATGTCATGGATAGATTCTGGCGCTCGTTAACATGTTTAAATAATAGAGGAAAATCATTAGTTGTATTACACCAGTATGACAGTCGCATTATGTGGACAACGATGTGAGAAAAAATTAAACAGACATGATTGGTAAAAATGTCAAAAATAGGTACAGCAGTAAACATTATGTTATAATTGTAATCACTATAAAAACGAACAAATATGAAACAAAGAAACACAAAAAGGCGTAAAGACAAAGCACATTAGCAAAATTGAAAGACAAGAATACAAAAATTTACCATGATAGCACAATAACACAATAATGGGATGTAAAAGTACAGAGCCACGTCATATGTAACAACAAAACACAATAAATGCATATAGACAAGCACATAAGCAAAATGAAAGACAAGAATACAAAAATATACTTTAGTACAATAACACAATGTCAGGATGTATAAGTACAGAGCCACGTCAAATGGATATCACCAAAACAGAAGTAAACAGTAAAAGTAATATTCATAAAGGCAAAATAAAAGAATATTATAACATGTATATACACGATAAACAAAGTCAGTACACAGAATCTTTACTTCCAAACTGTGATATATTATCTTCCGATGAAATTAAAATAATTTCGTTTGTCAGAGATATTGGTACTGAGATGACTGCGTTTGTCAAATTCGAGGTATAAGTCTAAAAATGAGGCGGATGAAGCCGTGCCTGTTCTGTTGTCTCCTTAATTTTCATGTAAATGGAAAGAACATCATCAATATATCTGATTGTGAAATTAAATGATATGGCTTCTTTCATCTCTTTGTTTTTGACAAGTGTCTGAGGGAACTCCTATGAAAATAAAAAGATATCGTCAAGGAGAGGCGCATATTCGTTCCCATAGAAATGCCGACAATTTGTTGAAAAAGTCTTTCTCCTAATTCAACAAATAAATTGTGAATAAGAAATTCCATCATACTGATCCCTTGCGGACACTACATTCAGGAACCCTAAGCCGGCCATTCAAAAGAAGCACAAGCCTCCATCTACCAGGAGACGAAATGCAGAGCATTTCAGCCAGTGGATGGACTCCAAAAAAAGCCGTTGCATCTGCTGCTACCCCTTTAACTACCCCCAGTAAAAGCGTAGATACCATCTGTCAGACGCAAGCCAGGGATACAGTTATTGGTATACCACTTATATCAACAAAATATCGTGGAGAACAAGAGGGAGTAAACATCAAGACGGAGAGTGTCACTAGTCCGTACAACTCCCAGAAGGCATGTCATCGCCATTACTTCTATACGCCATCCAAAACTAGAAGTAAGGATAGACTTCACATAAGGGTTTGACATCGATGGCCCCGACCTACTTCGCACACTATCACATACCTCGCCAACATACATGCCAGATCCAGAGGCCATCATACTGCCTTTGCCTTACAAGAACTACAAGACACTCCGTACCAACCTCAACCGCGCCAGATCGGAGCAAGATGAAAGGAAAAAGAACAGCAGATCCAACACTGCACGAATAGGTTATTGCAGTCCGCAATATATATCAAAATATCTTGGACGATACAACCAAACATCGGTATGTGTATCATGTTTTACCTTTCTGTTCAGTATTAACAAAATATGCCGTACAGTATCCCAAAGTAATAAATTTATAATGTATGCTATTATTATTTGTATGTTGAAAAGCATTGTGGATTATTTCTTTTAGACGATATTTCAATTTCACATGGGGAATGGTGGTATACAGTGTTGAAAAATCAAAAGTGTTAACAGAACTACAACCACAAAAAGATCGAGATTTAAAATTATCCAAAAGTTCTTTTTTATCTACATATGATTAATATAAATACGCGAGTAAACAGTTACACAGTATTTGTGATGACCCTCTTTCACAGCGGACATAATTGTTGTCAATCTAATGGACCATTATTTAGTCAAACATGCAGATTAGCCTGCTATGTATCTTGTTTGTACGGAAATTTGCGAAGCTTATGTATACAATACAAACAATTTACATGTAAGTCTTCCGATTTGTTGTTCAATGATACAGTACTTGCAACCTTAGGCGTTACTATTTAAGCGATCAATCAGCGGTCATCTAAAGGCATTTATAATGACTGATTGCATTTGACGTTGCATTATTTCTAATATAAAAGAAGAAAAATTTGCATTTTTAAGCAACACGAACAAAAATTAATTATCTTTTCCCTTAAATTCATCATAATTTATGAAAAACACCAATCCTGATGTACAAAAAGTACTGAAATCAAATGACGGTTCATAGTTTCTATCAAAATAAAGAAATTATTGCATTCATATCCAACACCAGCAAAAGTTTAAGCCTTATATATTTAAAATTCTCATAAAAAAACTTATCTTGAGGCCTTTGAAATAACTAGTTACAAAAAACATTGCATTTTTTTTTTATCAAAAAAAGAAAAATTGAAAATTTTAAACAATGCGAACAACATTTTAGCATATTTTCTCTGATATTCTTTTAATTTTATGAAAAAACAACCAATCCTGAACTACAAAAAGTACAAAAATCCAATGGCGGTCAATAATTTCCATAAAAAATAAATGATGATTGCACTGTTATTCAACAAAAACAAAAGTTTATGCATATCTATCCTTCAATTATTCACAATTTATACAAAATTACTTATCTAAAGTCATTTATAATGACTGATTGCAATTGACGTTGCATTATTTCTGATATAAAAGAAGAAATATTTGCATTTTTAAGCAACTCAACAAAAATTTAGAATCTTTTCCCTGAAATTCAGCAGAATTTATGAAAAACACCAATCCTTATGTACAAAAAGTACTGAATTCAAATGGTGGTTCACAATTTCTACCAAAAAAAGAAATATGCATTCATATTCAACATAAGCAAAAGTTTAAGCCTTATATATTTAAAATTCTCATAAAAAATCTTATCTTGAGGCCGTTGAAATAACTAGTTACAAAAAACATTGCATTTTTTTTTTTTATCAGAAAAAGAAAAATTGAAAATTTTTAACAATGCGAACAACATTTTAGTATATTTTCTCTGATATTCTTTTAATTTTATGAAAAACAACCAATCCTGAACTACAAAAAATACAAAAATCCAATGGCGGTCAATAATTTCCATTAAAATGAGAAAATGATTGCATTCTTGTTCAACAAAAACAAAAGTTTATGCATATATATCCTTCAATTATTCACATCTTATACAAAAGTACTGATCTAAATGCATTTATAATGTCTGATTGCAATTGACGTTGCATTATTTCTGATATAAAAGAAGAAATATTTGCATTTTTAAGCAACACGAACAAAAATTTAGTATCTTTTCCCTTAAAATCAGCATATTTTATGAAAAAACAACCAATCCTGATGTACAAAAAATACTGAAATCTAATGGCAGTTCATAATTTCTATTAAAATATAGAAATTATTACATTCATATTCAACAAAAACAAAAGTTTATGCATATCTATCCTTCAATTATTCACATTTTATACAAAATTACTTATCTAAAGGCATTTATAATGTCTGATTGCAATTGACGTTGCATTATGTCTGATATAAAAGAAGAAATATTTGCTTTTTAAGCAAAGCGACAACAAAAATTTAATATCTTTTCCCTGAAATTCAGCAGAATTTATGAAAAACACCAATCCTGATGTACAAAAAGTACTGAAATCAAATGGCGGTTCATAATTTCTATCAAAAAAAAGAAATTATTGCATTCATATTCAACACAAGCAAAAGTTTAAACCTTATATATTTAAAATTCTCATTAAAAATCTTATCTTGAGGCTGTTGAAATAACTAGTTACAAAAAACATTGCATTTTTTTTATCAAAAAATGAAAAATTGAAAATTTTTAACAATTTGAACAACATTTTTGCATATTTTCTCTGATATTCTTTTAATTTTATGAAAAACAACCAATCCTGAACTACAAAAAGTACAAAAATCCAATGGCGGTCAATAATTTCCATTAAAATAAAGAATGATTGCATTCTTATTCAACAAAAACAAAAGTTTATGCATATTTATTCTTCAATTATTCACATTTTATACAAAACTACTTATCTTAAGGCATTTATAATGACTGATTCCAATTGACGTTGCATTATTTCTGATATAAAACAAGAAATATTTGCATTTTTAAGCAACACTAACAAAAATTTAGTATCTTTTCCCTTAAATTCAGCATATTTTATGAAAAACAACCAATCCTGATGTACAAAAAGTAATGAAATCTAATGGCGGTTAATAATTTCTATCAAAATAAAGAAATAATTACATTAGTATTCAACACAAACAAAAATTTAAGTATTTTTCTCCTTACATAATTAAAATTCTGATAAAAAATCTTATCTTGAGGCCTTTGAAATAACTAGTGACAAATAACATTGCATTTTTTTTTATCAAAAAAGGAGAAATTGGTAATTTTAAACAATGCGAACAACATTTTAGTATATTTTGTCTGATATACTTTTAATTTTATGAAAAACAACCAATCCTGAACTACAAAAAGTACAAAATCCAATGGTGGTCAATAATTTCCATTAAAATAAAGAAATGATTG